GTTATTAATCACATATATGCCCATTTATAGCACAGATTATATTCAAATTGTAACCCACCTTGGTACACACTATAGATGCATTAAAGTGACGTGAAGTCCAGTGTCGCCCTCTACTAAATGGGAATTATAACACAACTGTCAAAATGGTAACATGATATGAACAAATATTTCCTAACTTTTACCTTTGTTATATCAAAGTTACATCAAATATATCACGTGAGCAATAAAGAAAATATTTTTTGCTTATCTATTAATTAAAAATAAAAATAAACCACAATGTAAAACCACGAATTGATGTGTATTGTTATAATATTAATATTTTGAATGGAATTAACTATTGGAACGTTTAAAATGGAATATATGTGTGTTTTCTTACTTGTTTTAAAGTAAAAATAACGTATAGATACACTTGTTATTAATATTTTAGGCAATCTTTGATCGTAGCGCCATCTAGTGTCTTTTATGACAGAGGAGAACTAAATAAAATGATGTCATTGCAAGAAGGGTTGTTTGCGACGGAACTTGTGCTAAATTAATGGCGATTGTGCAAACGTGAAGTTCACCAAAATCGATTCAGCAGTTTAGGTGTTGCTGCGTAACAAACATACAAATTAACTCGTCAAGTACCGTCATTATAGACACAATTATAGAACAATAGGTTGCGGTCACCGGTGACCGCTTGGTGTTTGACAGTTTAATCTCATTTTACTTTAAAACAAGTACGAAATAATTGAACAAATATGAAAAACAAAAGGAACGAATGTCCATATCCCTATATAATAGTAAATAATAAATAAAAATAACTATTATTATGTAATTATTGTAAAATTTGAGTCTGTATGTTTAAGTAAGGGAATCGTCGTTGTGATGAAACTTTAGTAAGACTTTAAAAAATTAATCAAAAAAGCAATTTTTGTTTAATGAGCTGTAAAAAGTAAAAAATGTGAATCGGGCAAAGTGAGTAAGTAATATCGATTTTTATTAACAACATTCCCATTAATGGCTCTTTAAGTTTCAAAAATGATTACAGCTGAAATCGGTCACTAAGTTAATCATATAAATGAATACCTAATGAAATTAATTATAAAAGGAAAAAGTTTAAAACTTAAAGTTCACATTTTTTATGACTTAACGACCGATTGTTAGATCGTTATCTATGTCGAGTCTACCAATAAAATATTAGCCCGATTCTTAACATGGGACTCGTAATGGGTTAAAGTGGACGTTACATTCCGATCTGTCTCTACTCATTTGAAGGGTTAGATTTGTACCCATGTCGCTTTTATATCAGAAGTGGTTACACTTAATTTTTTATTAGGAAGTGAATGCCCGCTCTGTTGTAAGTATACGCTTATTTAGGTTTTATTACACAGTACTGAAAAGGACAGACTTGTGAGTGTAGCCATTGAATTACGCGCGGGCCTGCGGGACCAGACCAAGCCCGAGTGTACAGCGCGTCGCGTTCCGCGCGCACCTCAAAGAGCCATCAGACCACCACGGATGCGGCCCAATAGTGCTGATGCCGATACGGAGCCGCGGAGAACTTAACGGGTTACCGGGGCTCCGGCTCGACGTGCAGGAGAAGGAACGGGGTGGTTTTTAGTCAGTAAGAGTCTGACACTACCTCCCGCCTCACCCAGGCGGGAGTAATCATTCGATGATTTTTCCCCCCTAAAAAAGCCATTGAATATACAGCATAAATAACTGGACTATAAGCCTCATCTTCTTAAGGTTTGCAGTAATGACGCTTGGTAACTGCCATGGACCTAAATTTCCGATCAATACCAATCCATCTAGATTGGATATCGCAAGGACGTTGACAAAAATGCGGACGTAATATCACTTGAAAATGATTGAAACACCATAATTTCTGTGGTGTATTTACGTGTACGTGTTCTTGCAACACCGTAATGTATGAAGTGTAATGACGGGTCAGGTCACGCGACAGATGTCCTTCGTGTCAATGTGCGTGTATTCTGCGTGTAAGTCTATAGTAGTCCACAGTCGTTGTTTCAAGAGACTGTGTCCACCCTTTTCAACGACCTTGGGGAATCGCAGTTTAAGCAGGTTTATCAGAGAGCGCCGCTGCTTTTCTTCGTCAACTTTTACGATACCAGCGGGAAAAGCTGAGGTGATGACATATATGTTCTACTCTTTAGTCACATGACGTGTCTCTTAGTTTAACCTCTTGACTGTCGTTATCTATGTATATAAGACACAAAAGAAAATATAATTATTGTGTCTGGCGTTGGTCTACGTTCCGACATACCACGAGTTAAAAGAAATTCAATGTTTACGCTCATAGGCATAGCTTCAGTAAGAACAAATCGGGAGAAACTCGTTTATTATATATATATATAACCTTTATATTGAATTGTAAACATTGTTAAATTCTTAATATACCTAATAGGTCATAATCTAACGATGTTTACAGTTTTATGCGATTATAACCATTATTTACTGTGTATTTAGGACCGAGAATCCTTTAAAAAATACGCTTTATTAATATGAATGAAAAAAGTCATTTGTTTTTGTACTTACGAATTATTAATTAAATGAATGAGGATTTTGATTTTTGCGCTTTCTAGATGGCGATAGTGTGTTATAAAGTACTTTCGGGTCTCAAGCCCACAAATTGACTAATATTTCACAAAGGACTAATAGCCTTTAAGCTACACTAGCGCCCCTAACGGCGCAGAAATCCTCATTTGGACGAGTTTAAGTCGACTTGTATACAAGATATTTTTTAAGATTCACTCTAAAGTTTCTGAAACTGAAATTCGTGTTGTGAATATCGTACATATATTTTGGAGCAATAAATAATTTTAAATTATACATAACTATTACGTAAGTCATGTGTTAAAATTGAAACATCGCTATTTTGTTTTACTCAGAATATTTTTTCTACTCTATCAATTATACTATCTCAGTCTATCCATTTGTAACAACTGAACAACAACAGAATTGGATAAAGAACTATCTGTTTTTATAAACCCATCGGAAAAGATACGATGAAGATTTAAAAATGTATCGATATTTCGTTTATTTATTATCTCAACATACAAGTCGACTTTAATATATTGTGATCATAATTATTTTAGAAAGATTATATTATTATACGCTTGTATAGTAAACACATTTGTTGCTGTTATACTGTACTGTATATGTCATAGTATGTAGTTGTATATTTCTATAACAAATGAGATATACATAATATATTTAAAATTTAAAAGTATTGTGAATCCCGGAGAAAATTGAATGAATTTGTAACGATGGATAAGTAAACAGTTGATATTTTGTAAATATTACCTACAATCAAATGTAGAGTATGGGACATAATATTGATTAAAAAAATACAATATTGTTCACTTTACCTCGATCATTCCTTCTATGATTTTTAACTGTCAAAATTATATTTTCATATGACATAACGTTTGACATTTACAAATGTCAGATTTGAAGGGAATGACAGTTGAGAGTGTCATCGGGATTCTAAGCCATAGGCATAGGTATAAAAAAATCAATCATAAATATAGTTAACAATCTGAAATTCAAAATATAATAAATATATTCTAAATCCATAATTAACTGCCAAATTTTAATCGTCAATTAAGATTAACATAATGTAATGAAAAGAGCATAAATATACAGTATATAGACGCACTGGTTTGTTGGGCACATTAAATGTGTGAGAATGAGTGAAAAGAGAAATTAGCACTTTCCCAAGGGTCACTGCCAATCCGAAAACCCGTATTCATTAGGAAATAAATTGCATAATAGGGTAGGAGACAGTGTATGAAAATTAAAAATGTAATTAGTCCGTCAGTTAGATAATGATAAAATATTAGACACATATTTTTTTATTTTGTCGTATAAGAAAACAATACTTAGATAAAACGGAGTTAAGTTTAGGAGTGGGAGGTCGTTACATCACGCTACCCTACAAAATGTAGTAAAACGTGACGTCGTACGATATTTCAAATCATCGAAAAGAAAAAATACGTAACTAATGTTTTAAAAAATATACCAGACGGACATTAAAATAAAATTTGGAATACTACCCTATTGTTTCTAATGGTACACGCTGGCAAGGATGCCAACATACTTACATAAGGATTTAGACTTTATATCAGAAGTAATAAAATTAAAAACCTAATGAAGTAATTTGACGGAAAATAATGAGTTCACTTGCCAGCCACTGTACGGTGATACGGTCATTTTCTTTCAATTTCAACTTTATGATATTGACATAAAGTCGAAAATAAAATGAATTTTAACAGATTTTGGAGTAGAATAATCTGCTGGCCACTGCACCTATTTAGAATTTTCAACTGTCGAGACATTCTGTACTAATATGCAATTTAAAATTGGAAGGTTTTCACCAGCTTGCCTTAAATATGTGCCAAAAATAGCTCAAGTAAATAAGAAACTTTGAATGTACCTACACAAAATATTTAAAGAAAATTTCTCTTTTCTCTCGTCCTTAAAATTAAACTGTTGAATGTATAGAGAACATATATCCATATACATATTATAGAGAAAATATAAAATATAATTATATCCATAAAAAATAGTCCAAATTCTAACATCGTTATTTACATACATATAAGACTTAAAACCAAATAATATGTTACAGAAATTATACGATAAAAATATTTGTAGAAGTAAAAACAACTACTTCCTTCCTTTCAGACCTTTGCATAGAGGTCGCCACTGTACTTTTTAAGTGCCAAAATCTGTCCAATAATAGTTAACTTTAAAAAATCTTCTTTTCTTTAAATTTTTTACTTCTGCAAATAATACATTTATGTATTTATATTTACTAAATACTGAACTAAACCTCACTTCGTCCTATCAGCTATGTTTTAGCTAGACAAACTGATTTAGACTAATATTTAGTTAGGCACATAGATCAAGCCTTCTGTTTTGATGGGTAACATTTGTAAGATTTCTTTAAAGATCCTTCTAAAAAGATTAAAACTGGGATTATGAAAATAAAGTACTTAATGAGATTGGCAACGCCCTTAGCAAAAAAACTTTATTAAACTGACATCGACAAAAAGTTTATAACAAACCACGGTAAATGTCCCGCCCACACACACAAAGCGCTTCGCATCAAGCTTCCTTGTGCGTACTGCTAAAGAGAGGTATTCTTTGCCAGAATCTGTATTTAGTGAAGGGTATAAACCTGGATGTCTTCAAGGCCCGAGTGAATAGGTTGCTTATGGAACGACGTATCATAGACCGCATCATCGCTTACTACCAGGCGAGATCGTGGTCAAACGTCGGCCCATCGATATAAAAAAAAATCGATAAAATAATACGAATGTTTCCCATCCCTGTACAAAACGCATTTGGTAGATAGGAATAAAAATTTTAGTTAGGCATTATCAACATGTCTAAATAAGTCAGTCTAGCTACGTATTTCTTGGAAATTTTGTATAAGCACTCAGAACATAAATACATATTAACAAATTTCCAAAATAAGACGTTGGAATCTCAATGAAAAGTCTTAAATTTTCAACGCAACTACAAAACAAAGCGTTACCAATGTTTTTAACTTACAAAAGACTTGACAACAAATGAACAAATCCAACTGAAAAGAAATCTTTGTACCTAATCCTTACTAAACTATAATTAGGACAAAGAATACTTATATTATTATAATAAAAATATATAGTATTATATAATATATCTTAACTTTATGATGTATGTACCTGCACGAAGAAAATCCTTTGCAAAATTACTCTAAGAAAAAATATCGCCTACTGACGAATTTACCGCGTAAAAAAAAAATAGAGTAATTTTGCACAGGTTAAAAAAGTACTATTACTTGTTAAACCTGCCTCTGAAAGTACTATTTTAATTACTATAAAAACTATATTTGTTATTTATGAAAATCAGACGACTTTTCTTTATAAAAATAAATTAATTAAAAAAAACTAGAGTAAGGGAAAGTCGCTGATTTTGGAAACTCTAATAATTATGTTAGCATAATGTTGGTGTAAAGACAAGTTTATATTTTTAATCGCTTGAATGCACCGATATGAGACACAATAGAAAATTCACTGTGTCTCACTTGGCTCCACGTTTAGACACACGACGTCTTAAGTTTGCATAGACACTATTTACATAGTCGCAAAAACACGATAAAAAGAAAATCGGTACAAAGAAACCTACCGTCAAAGCTTAAAGAATAAATCTACATCCCTGGGCTTCAGACGTAACCTCAAAAGGTGAATAAAAAGGAGTAAAAATGGGATAAGCCCGTTAACGAGTAGACGAATTACCTGATAGTAAGCGATCTGTGTCATCCATGGACATCTGGAACACCAGAGACGTTACGAATGCGTTACCGGTCTTTTAGAGATTATGAATTTAAGGTTTGTTGGGGATTCAGGGATTAGGTAGGTTGGGGAAGGAGGGAAGACGGGTAATTGGGCCTCCGGTAACCTCACTCACACGACGAAACGCAAAACAAGCATTGTTTCACGTCGGTTTTCCGTAAGGCAGTGGTATCACACCATTCGACCGGTCCATTCGTGCCGCTACCACACTTAAAATATATCAATAAAGATATCTTGTCTTTTCATCAACATGTGTATTGAAAAAAGATCTATCTTTTGTTAAATTCTATAAAGTCTAACGTTCCAAGAACTAAACTCTCACACTAAACTAGCTAAACGTAGATAGATTGCACTCAATTTATTAGAATTTACAATTTTATTTATTTCATAAGTAGTGTAAGAATTCGTCTCGCGGTATGTGTACCAAAAACTGTTTAAAAAAATATCGTATTTGTTATTACTTATCTGTGCTTGTGTGTTCTTTTTCTAAAGAGGTCGTATGTCTTAGAATATTGTTCTTACCTTTATTTATATGTATTTAACTCAGATCAATATATCGGTAGGTATTACAATGATTGTTATGGCTCACAACAATCAAAATTATACCTAATCTTTGAATTCAGAAGAAATATTGATTTCATTTAAGTACGTAATACTTAATATGTAAAGGAAACAATAGCTTGTCAAATAATAGCTAACGATTACAATAGAAAGCGGTTGTATTGTTAAATATCAGAAAAATTTATCAGTTTTCGACTTTATAATGAACAAACAAGTTTTAAAGTGTATTAAAATAATTTAGAACTTAACGACTGAATTTTGTCGTTAACAATGTCGGGACTGCCGGCCCGGAAATAGCGATTTTTTTATCTAAGACTACGACCTTTTATCTTACTGTACTGCTACATTTTTTATTTAAATTTATAATAATTAAATATTCTTAAAACTGTGCCAAAAAGTTCCCATTGTGATTCCAAAAACTAAAATTATTGTTATATTGTAAAATAAATATATTAAAAAAAATAAAAAATGTAGTTGTGAAATATCGGCGTTGTGTTGAACAGTCATTTTTAGGATAAAGTATGAGAGAATAAATGAATGCATGTTATATTTTAAAATTTTAATTGAAAATATATATTACTTTCAAAATTGTATGTTTTATTTACATCCCTGAATAAATAAGGTATTTAGAACATTAGTCTATTTAATACTTTATGTAATTCACAAGACTGCGGTAGTGTTCAGCAGTATTATAACTTCGACATGTAAATTCAACAAGTTGGCAAATACATAGAAGTGGTACAAGTATCCAACTACAGACAAGAATAAAACAGAGGTCGTGTTTAAATATAAACAGATAACTAACGGCTCTAGACACAAAAGTAATAGTTAAAATTCATTCCAATTTCCATTAGGTATGTAGCTACTTTAACAAACAAAAGTACGTACGAAATAGTCATGTTCACTGTGTTTAAAAACTTAATTAATTTCATTCAAATTTTCAAATGTCCCGCCTTTACTTGACGCAAAGATTCAAATTTCTCCCGCCATTTTATCCTCAATGACATTTGCTCGTTCAGAAATTCGTACGCTTTCATTCTTAGTAAACTAAAAACCGTAAATACATTTTATTCACTAAAAGTAATATTAATTCAACAAAATTATGATTAATATGTACGTAAATATTTCATTATTTCTAATAAAAAAAGCAAAACAGAATTATTAAATAAGATGACAACTAACAGTGGCTGTATGCAGATGAGTTTGTGCCCGTGCTTGAAACTACAAAAAGTTGTTTATAAAAAAAAACTTGCATTTGTATTGATTTTCGCAGTTTCTATCCCAGATTTTTCCCGTGAAAATAGAGCTGCAGTTATCACTAAACAAATTAATTTCAATTGAAAATATAAAGAGAGTTTACTATAGTTGTGTTGGGGCGTCTGTATCGTACATTAAACCTACTTTTACGCTGTGTAGCCACCCGTAACGATCTTTCTGAATATACATTACATTCCCGTGGTGTTTTTCTGAAAAATAAGCTGTTTTAGATAAAAATGAGTTCTATAGCGCAACAAAAGGTCCTTGTCAAGGAAGGTTTATTTCAGTTTATTACAAAACATATCCCTAGTGCTGATCTAAACGTGATAGATGATATAGTTCTTACGTATGTGATTTCGATCCTGGAAGAAGCTTCGCAGGACCCGTGCTTCGATGTTGAAGGTGAGAAATGCAATTTAAATAGATTTCTAATATTTTCCAACCCATGTTTTGCCCTTGGACTAATTTACGAACTAGAATTATGTCATAATATACTAGTTTGAAGTGAATCCATCTCAGATTCGTTGTATACGCTTTGTTTATCGTCAGACAGTGGGTTTCGATTCAAATTACGTAGTTCTGAAACAAAACACGATCGCCTTGACACCCAATTTTATAATTGGAACAAAAGAAATGCTGGATCACTTTATTTATAAGTCTAAAATAAGTATTTGTATCAAAAGAGAATTTAAGTAAATGAATATTTCATTGTTACTATTTATTTTTTACTAGATGACCGGCAAACTTCGTACTGCCTATAAATAAAAATAAAATCTCACCTTTTAAAACTTCCCTGGACTTTCACGAACATTTCAAGACCAAAATTAGCTAAATCGGTTCAGCCGTTCTTGAGTTATAGCGAGACTAACAAACAGAAATGCATTTTTATTTATGTACATATTTTTAAACTCTGTATTTTATTATAAAACATATGTGTTATGTTCTATTTAGTATTACATAATATTCCAAGTCAAAATAAAATATTTATGTTGTGTTAAACAAATCGCATTTCAGCATCGGAATATCCAAAAAATCTTGATCTTATTAACTAATTATCTAACGATTTGAATCTTTTCCATATTACAAAATACTTAGGAATTAATATCTCTGTCTTACTAAATCCATTGCAGATTTTAAAATATTAATTATATTAGAATAATTAATATTTTAAATAAATATTATAAAGTAGTGAGTACTGGAATAGGCAATATTGTCTTTTTATATCACTTGCCAATACAGATACATATGATTCTAAAATGTCTTATATTTAAGAAGTTCATTTAAAATGTATTTTCCAACTTAACTCGTAAATGTCTAATTATGAAAAATCCACAACAGTTCATACAAAAGTAGTCTCCAAACATCGGAAATAAGGTGTATAACGGAGTTAGTGTAGAACGGGTACCGGTGACCACATGAGAATTGATCAGTAAATGCGTTAAAAGATGCACAGTATGTGACCATTATCGAGTCCGTTTTACATACATAATTTCAGTAGTAACCGGAAATTATAGAATGCCAATTGCTATGATTCTTACATACCCCTTTCAGGTCCGTTTTAACCCATATATCCCCAAGTGGTCACTGGGTCGCTACTCTCCACTAACTACATTATAGACCTTATTTCCAGTATTTAAAGACTGCCTCGTTGGCCGAGTGGTAGCAAGTGCAACTGCCGGGCAAGGGGTCTCGGGTTCGATTCCCGGGTCTGGCGTAGTATTACTGGGTTTGTAAAAACCTCAGTTGGCACGGAGTCTGGAAATGTGCCCGGTATATGGCCATAGGCTCACACCCTATTACATGGGACTTGTAACATAAATAGTGAAAAGTGGGTGTTACATTGTTAATGTGCACCTCTAACCTATCCCTTGGGGATAAAAGGCGTGATGTTATGTATGTATGTTAAGACTACTTTTGTATGAACAAATTTAGGGGATGATTTTCAACAATTTTCAACATGTAATATTCTCAAAATTGCTGCGAAACCAAAATTTACAATGTATTTTATGATTATTTTATTTTATGACATAAAGTGCTATGCTGACTCTTGAAAAAATTCAAAATATATTTACTTATCATCGAAAAGATCAATTCTTTTGGTTAGTATTTGTATCTTAGGTAGTTAGCGTAGAACTACTAAACTAACCTAATCCCCAGAAGGCCGGTAACGCACGTGTAACGCCTCTGGTGTTCCAGGTGTCCATGGCATCGCCGATAGCTTACCACTTACCATCAGGTGATCCGTCTGCACGTTTACCGGCTTGTCCCATAAAAAAATTATGTTTCCAGTTATGGGTCTCATGTATTAGGGGATGATTGGAGGACATAATAATATTGTTTTACACAATATACAATAATCACCAGACTCAATGGTACAAGCTAGAGAATCTTTCAAGTCTATCATACTTCAAACATATACGGTTACCCTACCTACAGACATTTACGGTTGTCAGGGGTCCGGGATGATAATAATTATCTGTAATATATATACTTCATCATCATCATCATCATCATTAACAACCCTCTTCTCACACGGCGACGGTTTGAGCATTAATCACCACCCTTGCTCAATGCGGGTTGGCGATTTCAAACTTATAATTAGAAATGATACGCCCAGATTTCATCACGATGTTTTCCTTCACCGTTTGTCAGTGGTGTCTAAATAATCTTAGAAAGTACCTACATATTATAACTCGGAAAAAGTCACATTGGTACTTGCCGTTGGTAGGTTTCGAACCCGCGCTCTCATGCATGAGAAGCAGGCGTCTTAAACCTACAGGCCATCACGATTGTCTATAATATTATGCAAATGTAAATAAATAGTTGAGTGATGAGATGAGATGCTGAGCGTATATCCCAGATCATTGAAACATTTCTTTTTTAAAAACTTTGCCTCATTTTTTTTGGAGGGGGAAAATCGTCCTGTGACATCTCCCAGCCTTAGGTTAGGCGAGAGGGAGTGTCAGACTCTTACTGACTAAAACCACCCTATTTGATTCGATGCGGGAAAAGTCATTCGATTGTTTTCCCCTTTAAAAAAAAATCTCGAATATTACAATATGGTACACTATTTACTGGAGTTCCTGTAACTATATACGAAGAACAAGATAGAAGCAGAGACCTCGAAACCTCAGAAACCGAACGTATTCAGCTAGTCTAAAACCCATCCCGACCCAATTCTTACCCTATGTCAGCATAGGGTAGGGTAGGGCCCTGGCATGTAAGGCTACTCACCGAATATTGAAATCATTTAAGTTTAACATTAACGAGTAAATGTGCATTTTACTACCATATCTACCACGTTACCTAATCATAATATAGTTCAGGGTTATCGAGGCTCCGGCTCGAAGTGCAGAAGGAACGGGGTGGTTTTTTTAGTCAGTAAGAGTCTGACACTTACGGCGCGTCGCGTTTCGCGCGCGCCTCAAGGAGCCAATCAGACCATCACAGATGGGGCCCAATAGGGCTGTTGCCGATACGGAGCCGCGGGGAACCTAACGGGTTACCGGGGCTCCGCCTCGAAGTGCAGGAGAAATAACGGGTTGGTTTTTAGTCAGTAAGAGTCTGACACTTACGGCGCGTCGCGTTTCGCGCGCGCCTCAAGGAGCCATCAGACCGCCACAGATGGGGCCCAATAGGGCTGTTGCCGATACGGAGTCGCGGAGAACCTAACGGGTTACCGGGGCTCCGCCTCGAAGTGCAGGAGTAGGAACGGGGTGGTTTTTAGTCAGCAAGAGTCTGACACTCGGGACACTCCCCTCTCGCCCTGACCCGGGCGGGAGAAGTCAACGGATGTTTTCCCCTCTCAAAAAAAAGGCTGACACTCCCTTTCGCCTCACTCAGGCGCGAGCAGACATTCGATGATGTTTCCCCTTCTTCTTTCCCTTAAAAAAATCATAATATAGGTATACCTACCTACTAAAAAAGTAGACAAGACCCATTAGCCGTGCACAAACCCAATAATAAAATAACAAGATTTCCCCTTCTAGTGCGAAAGCAACCATCAATGAAATAAAATGAAATTGAATTTCTTCTAGAGTGGTTTGAATTTAAAGGCAAACTGTTGCCCTGGTCTTGGAAAAATAGGTCATCGATCGCCGCTGAGCGCCGGTTACAGGTGGGCTGGGATGTGTGAGAGAGACCCGTATATTGATTCATAGCCTTATGATATTTGCTAGATGTTGACTCGTGAAGGGTCCGATTGTCGAGTGGGATAACGGCCTTGATGTTATTTACTGTAGATTCTGTATGACTATGATTATGACTGCCTCGTTGGCCGAGTGTTCGCAAGTGCAACAAGGGGTCTAGGATTCGATTCCCAGGTCGGGCACAGTATTATTGTTTTTTTTTTTAATTCTTAGTAGTAGCACGGAGTCTGGAATTGTGCCCGGTATATGGCAATAGTCTCACCTCCTATTACATGGGACTCATAACATAAATAGTGAAAAGTGGGTGTTACATTGTACAGTGGCATAATGTACACCCTTCGGGGATCAAAGGCGTGATGTTATATTATGTTAATCTGCAGATTTAATGTTAGATTTTGAAGAGTTTGGAAAAATGGGGATATGATAATACTACCTGCTTTTTCTCGTATTCAAATACACTGTATTATACAATATTTCCACAGAAATATATGTATTACATACTAGCTTTTACCCGCGGCTTCGCTCGCGTCCCAAAAGGATAAAAAGTAGCCTATGTGACATACACCAATACACAAAGCGCCATCTACACCAATACTTTTGTTTTCCCTCGGTAATATCAATTTTTCCGGTATAAAAAGTACCCTATTATTTAATCTGGACTTCTAATTTTACTTCTGCAAAAATTCAAAGCAATCGATTAAGTAGTTACTGCGTTAAATGGAACAAACAAACAAACAAACTCACTTTCCAATTTATAATATTAATATTTATTTCGTTGTGGGATATAAGATAGTTGTTCATGTCACTAGGATGCGCCGGAATTCAGTGTTTCAGTGTTTGCGTGGTTGTATCTACTGTAGATCCTGACCCTGTAGATCCTGACTGTAGAGTTGCAGCGGTTTTGGAAGTTTGTAGTGGGCTGGTCCTTTAAAAGGTGCCGAATTTAGGAACTTTATCTACAACTAGCGGCCCGTCCCGGCTTCGCACGGGGGGACTTAAGATTTTTTACATAGTTTTACGTTTTATTTATATTTATTCTCAGTTTTTTTTTAGCGACTTGCCCTCCGTTGTCGATGTCGCGTCTTAAGGTAACCGATTGAACAATTCAAAAATTATCTAGAGCAAACTTTTATAAGGATTGAACCATTCATTAAAACGATTGTTATGGGTAAACTATAAAAGGTAGACATATGCTCTCGCGGACTTTTT